TGCGGGACTTCCCGGAATTCCAGAGGGAGTCCGGCCTTCCCGCCTCCCAGGACCCGAGGTAGGGCATTTTGCTTATTTTAGGGCCCAGCTGATCCCCTCAAGCCACACAGTCTGGCTCCTCTCAATCCCCCTTCCAGAAAGCAACTTTCACGGGATGGGGGACTGACAAGGCACCAGCAGGACAGCCTCGGGACAACAGCCGGTGCCTGGGGGAGGGGCCCTGCAGGTGGGCGACCCCAAGGGACAGTGGTGCCTGGTGGTCCTTGTGTCCCCTTGGGAAAATCTGTGAAGACTAGACACAAAGAAACAAGAGGAGGCAGAGAGTCACATTCTCCTGTATTGTGGATAGTTCATCCCTCTCCTTCACAGCAGCAATGGAAATAAACAAGCAGGATGCCTGCAGCATCTCACCTGGACGACAACACTGCCACCCAGAGCCACCACCCTCGGGCGGGCTCACCTGCCCGAGTACACAGAGATCCTTGCATAGCATGGCAAACACAGCCAGTCCTTCGGGACATGCGCCTTCAGAGTCTAGGCACCCCCACCCCTGACAAGCTGCTATAGACCCAAAACACCTGTATCCTCCGCTACACAAAGCTTGTGAGTAGCAAAACTTGTAAAAATGAAGCGTACAAAAGGAAACATCCATATAATACATTTGCACCCTGTATACAATGTATCCCTTCGAAGCTGGCCCACGGTGAGTGGGGCGACTTTTCAATAATAGAAAAAGAACCCCAATGTCTGTCACATGCCCTCGAGCCAATGGTTCGTGTGGTTTTTCCAGAGAGATTTTCATTTAGTTACAGTACTTGCTGGCGATCTGTGTGATCAGGAAGCCAGCTGAATTCCTGGCATTTAGGCTAGTAACAGTTGATTGTCACAAGGTACAGTTCTGAGACAATAAATACAAGTAGATCAGATGCATTTCTTCATTGTATCAAGTAACTCCAGTTTAATTTAATACAATTTAGTGCATTTCAGTATCTCATTCACAGTTCGACTTCTGTCCAAATACTTTTGCAACAGAAAGAAACTGAAAAGTTAATGAGAAACTCCAGGTGAACTTGTCATTACAAAGCTTAAAATTTTAAGACAATTCAACGATCCTTGAAAAGCATATACGCTACTGCTGCCTGGGCTGACCGATGCCAACGTCTCTGGGAACTTCCTAAAAGTGTTCTTGTCGCTTTACCTCCCGAGCAGTTGGTGGGAATGCCACCATTTTCCCTGAATTAACAAGCAGCAAATGCTTGTGGTAAAACGTAATTCATGTGTGTCCACCCTGCTCACGCAGATTGCAGTGTGATATCTTTCACCCAAAAACTGTCCCTGTGTTTTTGCATCCTGGCCTTGACATGCAAGAACATGGAGCGTGCGTGTCCACACCCACCCTGGCAGCCCGTGGCAGGGTGATGGGACAAGCCCAGAGCTGAGCCCCTGGTGTGGCCGGGCCCGTGCCCAGGCCCGAGGTGCTCTGGAGGGGCTGCCTTCCGGTTTGGCCAGAGAAAGGGGCAGGCACTCGGACCAGGGATGTGCCATCCCAAACAGAAGGCAGGCATGTCAGGCTCCAGCGTTAGCCCTGGGCCTGGTTACACCGCAGGGGGTTAGAAGCCACGTCACACCAGGGGCACGGGGCATTGCATGCCGGGGCTGCATGCGGCGGCTACCGGTGGGACGTCTGCAGCACGGGTATGCGTGGGGCCAGCGATTCAGATGAAAGTCAGCAGGGCTGAAAAGATTCTATTTGGCTTGTCCTAAAAGTGTCTCGGGCAGGGGTAAAGCATGCAGAAAAGTAATTCTTCACCCCAAATCTGACAAAGACTGGCAGTCACAACGGGCGTGGACAGCCGCTCACTGCTCCTGAATTGCACGTCAGTGTGACACATGGCTGGGGCCACTCGCTGCCTTTTCTTCAGATGCACCTCAGTGCTCGGTAACACCTCGACTAGCGTGCTGTGAGGACAGAGTCTCACGCCACGTGTGCAGAAGGGGAGGCACGGGGCAGACAAGGGAGAGGGATTCCACGTTGGTCAGCGGTATTACCTGCATTATTTTTTTACAAGAAAGTGCTGCTTACGCTGCTGTTCCGTGTTAGCTTGTGGTTTATATGCAGAGCTCATCTCTTCAACCACACTGTGCTTCTCGAGGACGGGGGCCTTAAAGCACCTCAAGTAGGCCTGTACATCTGGTACCTGCCAAGTACTGGGCAATGTCATCTCTCTGGGTGCAAAGTCTTATCCATGAGTAGCCATTTCAAGACGTCCAGGCCTGAGTCTGGAGGGGAACAGTGTTTCCCAGCCTATGAAGCGCTGTCCTCGCGGACCGGCCGTGCCCTTCCCCAGCGTCTGCCCACCTGCGTTCAGCGGGGACTGTCACTGATTACAGCGCTCACACAAGGACCCCAGAGAGAAGCCAGAAGGTCCACAGATGCTGGTAGCTCCATAAAGGCACCATGAAAGGCCACAGACATCTTAGAAGCCTCTGGAACTCCCCAGAGGGGGCCAAAAGAACTGCGAGCCCCTCCCCAGCCCAGCATAGTGTTAGAGGGTCTGCTCAGGAGCCGGCTCTGGGGAGGGTCCACAGCCCAACTCTGCGGCCAGGACACACATGTGGGGAGACGGTGAAGACGCAAGGGGCCCTCGGGAGGATGGGCAGGAGACCCCACGGCCCCTGGCAGAGCTCAGAGACACGCCAGGCAGTGACCCCGGAAGAGCCCATGCCAGGCCCGGTTTCTGAGGGGCAGCCTGGCCCAAGAAGGCCCCCCAAACCTCCATGACCAGCACAGCCTGGCTGGAGGCTGCGAGGTCACTTCAGCCCCAACGTTCAGCTTGAACTTGGACGTCACAGCAGCAACGAACGAAGCCCAGTAGTTCGGTGTAAAAGGATATGTAAAAGCGCTATTTGGGGATTTATCGATTTAATTAAAAAGGTTAAAGCAGCTCTCCTCCTCATTTCCTTCTAAAGGAGATGAAAAGCAAAATCCACCCCCTCAAAAAAAAAAAAAAAAACCCAAAACATTCACGGTGTAGTTTTTATTGCTCTCAAAGGCTCGGTATTCAGACACACAAGCTAAGCCTTCAGACCAGGAAACCGGGAGCGATTAAACTTGTGCTTGTGGCCTCAATGCCATTTTAACCTAGGACTCTCCACAGCTCTTCACTGACTGGCGCAGAACTCACCCGACAGAGATTAATTCCGAAGGGAGGGGGCTTCTCGGGGGAGCAAGGACTATGAATCAAACGGCAAAAGAGCTAAATCTGCATTTTCCAGGGCATGTGTGTGCACAGTAGTACCTTCCAGTGTTTTTCCTTTAAGATCTTTTAGGTGTTAGTGAATCAGTGAAGGACAGGTTTAAACACACGCAAAGACAGAGGAGCAGCGCGCTGCAGGAGAAAACCCCGAAACCCTGGCAGCAGAGCTCGCCCGGCCAGCGCGGGGACGCGAGGGCACAGGCCGGGGGTCGGGGCTGACTTTGCGGACAGAGGGAAGCGCGCCCCGAACCAAAGTGGTTTCCAGTGTTTCATTTGTCTTGCTGGCCGTGCCCCGCCTCTCGAGACCAGGCCATGCCCCTTGGTGTGACCCCAGACACGGAGCCTGGTAGTGTCTTCCTTCTAGAAGGAAACTACGCTCTCTTGACAAATCCTCCCCACGTGGGGCCGAGATATAATTACTCTCTCAATTTAGTTTATAATTTTCTCCATGCCTCTTTCCTCCGTTTTTTTCCTCAAAAACTCAACCTACCTCTATTCAGAATGCTGGTTACAATATAGCAGAGAAAACATCCATTTTTCCCCCTTGCTAAAAAATTGGAGGAGTGTGACTTTAAACAAGCAAGTCGCAAGTTTAGGAAAAAAGCCAGATGCAGGTGGGCTGGTGGTGCCATGACTTAGCGGAGCCGAGGGAGGGGCTGGGCCACGCGGGGAAGTTGGCAGAGACTTTCCTACTACGCCTGTGGGCCCGGCAGCTTCCATCCCAGCCAAGCTGGGCATTAAAGGTGCGTCGGGAAGGAACTTCTTCCACTCGGGCTGAGGGCCAAGGGGACTGCTGTGTGGCTGCGAGGACGCCTGTCAGGACGCTCGGAGACGGAGCTGTGGCACTCGTGGGGTGGGCCGGGCTGCGATGACACCTGCCTGGACAGAGGCCAGCCCTCCCCAGGGACGCAGTGCACGGCTGGGGGCAGCGGGGGCACCCACCTCTAGTTTCCAGCAGGAAGCTGAGACCCAACAAGAGAATAGCGAGTAAAAATAACATCTCTAAAAGCCAACAAGCTCGGTATTAACAGTCTCCAACCACCTTTAAAAGAAAGAGGTTTATCGGTGACATCACTTCTTAAAAAGCACCCCAGAGTGTCCTGCAGGCTGCAGGGCGCCTGGTCTGCTGGGGGTGGCCCAGCGCGGCCCTCCCTCCCCGGCCCCCAGCGAGGGCACTGGGGTCCGCTGCCCACGGAAGGGCGGGGGACAGAGAGGCTGTACCTGGAGAACTCTGCACTCGGCCGAGTCCTCAGGGCCCGTTCGTGTTAAGAACAGGTGGAAGGTGTGTGCACGCAGGGACAGACAGGACGGGGCAGGCAGGGCCAGAGAAATGAAACGGGTGCTCGCCCTTGGCCCACGCAGGGCAGAGGCGGGAGCCGGGTTTGCTATGAATCCACCTGTTACATTCGGTGTGTGCTTATCACGAGGAGAACGTCCCGCGGCCCCAGGGTCTAGAAGCCAGCGCAGTGCCAAGCAGAGCGGCCGAGCGAGCTCTCGGGGCGACTGGGACCCAGTCAGTCCGTTCCCACGAGGACGGCGGAAATTCATGGAGACAGTTTTTTGGGGTGCAGGGGAAGAGGTTGAGGGGCCAGGTTAAGTTCCCAAAACAACTGATAAAAACCAAAAAACTCGATCTAGGTTTCAGGAGAGAAAGCAGCCAAAGGCTCTTCTTGGAAGCAGAGTTCTTGAGGGGCTCGCGCTCGGAGAGGCCGGGCCCTCGCGGGGGCTGGAGTCTCGCTGGCGGCCTTCCGACCTCTCACTCTTGGCTCAAGTTTTATTTGTTAATATTAGTCACCAGTTAATAAGAAAAATAGTTTCTAAGTGTCTTTTTGTCCTCCGCTCTGTGTGTGTTCTGTTTTAATCGAGTTAATAGGATACCACCGCCAGGTTGTGTGTGTTCAATCACAGCCATTAATTATTCCTTTTTCTTAAATTCTTGGTTTCCGTAGCTGGAGCCTTTTTCTATTTCGGTTACTCCTATCAGTCTGCGAACTCCGAAGGAAGCTTTAAAACAGGAGAAAGAGAGAAGAGGTCAGACAGGTCACTTGGCCACCTCGCCGTAGAAGCGTTATGGGAGGGTCCCTTCCTCTGCCCCCAGTGCCCTGGGTGGTGGCACCCGCTGCGCGCACAGCGGTCGGCCGTGCCGTTCCCGGGCAGGCCTGCGGGGCTGCAGTGCACACGGCCGTGTTCTCTGCCCAGCTGGGTGAGAGGCGGGTGGACGTTTGGACTGTGCCCTGCCTGCCCATCTCTGGCTCTCGACTGTCCGAGCAGGAGGCCTTCGGAGCGTCCTAACAGACTGGCCCTGCCACACCCCGACGGGACTGAGATGGATGGGCAGGGCAGAGGTAACCAGGTCCCATTCCGCCTTTTGTGGGTGGTCCCAAGCCAATGTGTCGTTCGACAGGAGAGGACAATGGCAGTCACTGCCTCTGGGACCCTCCCACCCAGCTCCCGGCAGGGGTGGGCAGGAGCAGCGGAGGGGCTGGGCACCGCTGCCGGGCACTGAATGTGGACTGCCTGTCCACCGCTTCAGGGAACGCAGGCTGCCCGCGCTCACTGCAGGGACAGGGCGCTTGCTCTCTGCCCCCAGCCGTCTCATGAGTCCTGGCAGGAGCCCAGCACTGTGCTCAGGGCTGGGCACACAGGGATGTCACCGAGGACCAACAGGTAGGTGGGTGCTGGGTAATGACAATGTCGGGGTTAAACCTTCCGAGTGGCCATCCCAGCCCCGCCTCCTGAGAGCCCACGTGCAGACAGAGGGACTCAGGACCCCCTCAGCAGCGTCCTGTGCGGCTGGCCGGGCTGCGGCTCTCTGAGATGATGACCCTGCAGCTCAGTGGCAGGAGCCCAGGGTCCGAGGCCACAGGTTGGGGCTGGATCCCGGCTCCCCTGAGGTCTGTGATCACCACCGCGACGAGTTGTCCCGTCCTGAGCCCGTGGCTGGCACAGCGAGGCCCCCGCACTGCGGGCTGTTAACACTGGCGCCCATTACCTGCTCCCACAAACCCCAGGAACGCCAGGATCAGGAGAGGAGAGCCGCTCGCAAAGACGCCCAAGACGAAACTGAAGAGAGGGGACAGGAGGACGGTGGCCCAGCAGAGGAAATTCAGGAGGGTCCACGGTCTCCTGGCAGGTTTAAACTGTGCCCCTGGGAAAACGCCCTTCTGATTGTACATCTCCTGCAGCGCGTCCTGAAAGAGTCAACAACGGAACAAGAAAGCCAAGGTTTCCTTACGTGCCGTGCCGTGCTTTTCACGCAGGAGAAACGGTTGGCGACGAGAAAGTGGCTCGACCTAAACAAAGCGCCACATAAATTAAGTGGACAAATCACATAAGCTGCACGCGGGGGACGGAACTGGCTTCACCTTTTTGGAGAATCTTTGTAGCTTGTATCAAAAGCCTGACAGCATATAAACCCTCTGTCCCAGGAGGTCTCCCAGGAATGTGGTCAAGGGGGCAAAGTTGGAAATGTAAAGATCGCGCCAAGCACATGCGTGACAGGCGCACACGCGCTCACCCATCCTGACCCTCTCACCAGCGAGCGGTGGGGGGCGGCAAGCGTGACCGTGGGGGTCCTGCAGCCTGGGCATGGACCCTGGCGTCACCCGCTCCCAGCAAACTGCCCAAGGACAGTGCCTCGCCCTCCCGTTCCTCGGTTTCCCGGTCTGGCGAGGACAGCTAATGAGGGGCAGGAGGCGGGAGGCGGCGGTGAAGACGTGGCTGGAGCCGGCCGGGTAGTTGCACAGACGGCGCCGTCCGCGCATTTCCGCAGCGGAAACGGGCGCTCTAAGTGCCGCGACGCCGCCACGCCACACGGAACACGGCTCTCTGCGGCCACCATATAAGATGAGACGGTCATAGACTGACAAGGACATACATTCAGGATACTTTAAGTTTTTTGGCAGAAGAGGTTAAAGTTCCATACAATTCTATTTAAATTAAAAAACATCTATGACTGCACACATGTGTGTGTACCAAGTTGGGAAAGATTCACACCACGTTGTCAATAATTACCGGGGGTACAGAATGTCATGTTTTTTCGTGTTTTATTTTTGCATTCCAGTTTCTACAGTTGTGTTTTGTACTATACACACACGGGGATGTGTGGGGAGCTTAGCACACACCCGGTGTCGCGGCTGACACTTGCCGGCTGCCCTGGCCGTTCCCAGAGCGGCTGTGAGGGGCGTCACACCTGGAGCACTTCTTATTGGGGGCGGAAATGATCTGAAGGCCCACAGATGGGAAAATGAGTAACTCAAGCAGGTATCAGCGTGTGGCGGAGGACCACACAGCATTTAGAAGGCATGAATTAAATCTATTTATGTCAAGGGGGACAGATCTCAGAAACAGTGGGACGAAGAAGAAAAAAATACAAGAACGCTATATTAAGTACGATGTCATTAATGTAAATAAAAACAAGGGCACGAAGCAACTGAAAATGTCACATTGTCATATTTCAGTACCGTGGGAAAGCACAGCAAGCAGCGTAAAAATACCCAGGTACATCAGCGATGTCAAAACCTGTCATCTGATGCACTTTGCTTTGGGTTATTCTAGAAGGCAAGTTATCAGGGGTGGGGAAGAGACCTCACCCCTACCTCTGAGCCGCCGTCCCCCTGACGAGGTGACTCCCACCCCACGCACGGTTTCACTCTTGCACTACGTATGTGTGTCCACGAACAGTAAGGCACAGAACTGCTCGCGTGTTCTGCAACCTTCTGTGAAGACAATCGTACCGCATGCGTTCTGCAACCTGCTTCTCCACACGCTACGCTCTCGAGAGTCACCTATGTCCATAACACAGAGATTTAGATCATTCGCTTTAATTGTCAAATCGGGTGAATTCACATACGCAGTGTAACTATTTCCTAATAACGAACTTCTAGGTTATTTCTAATTTCTTGCTAAAAGTACTGTTGCTTGCAAACGTCACTTCATGTAAGAGTTTCAAACTGTCTAAACCTGACCCAGATTCAGAGGTGAACTTTCCTTTGCAACCCAGCACCTAGGACATCCCTGTCCCTGTCTCCACGGTGACACGCTGTACTTCTACTCTGCCTACTTCCCTTTTTCTTCCTGAGAGTTACACTGCTCTAGGAAATCGCATGTTTTGCCCAAGCTTCCAGACACGTGGGAAGAAAGTCACCGTGCCCCGCCGCCCCGTGTTACTTCACTCCCTGCTCTTTGGTTTGTCCCCTTTTCATTCCTGTCACTCCCGTCACTCTCTGTACGTCAGTCAGTCTTGCCCAAGCGTATCTACGTTAATAACATTTTTTAAAGAAAACGCTTCTGGCGCAGCTGATTTGCTCTTCTGTAGCTTTGATTTCTGTTTAAATAATTTCTGCTGTTGTTGCTATTATTTTCTTTGGGTTCACTCTTGTGTGTGTGTGTGTGTGTGTGTGTGTGTATTACAATGAATATGCATGTGTGTATGATTATTAGGAAGACAAAAGGCACGTGTAAGGCAGGAGAAGGGATCCTGATCCATGGTAGCGCCAATCTCGCGGACATGGCTTTGTGAGCGATGTGTCTTTTCTCTCTGGCTGCTCTAAGATCTCCCCATTATCTCTGGTGTTCAGCACTTTCGTTAATGGGTAGGGGTAGATTCATTTTTATTTATCCCATTCAGGACTTGTACGACGTGAACCCGATAAAATCTGTTTAATCAAGTCAGTTCTGGGAATTCTGTGGCTATTTTCTCTGACAATGGTTCTTCATCACTTTCCCTCCTTCTGTGCCGTCTTCTGAATGATTTCCCTAAAATCTTTCGGTTTACTAATTCCCTCTTTAGCCGTATCATATCTCTTGTTTAATCTCTTAGGATTTTACCACCAATGAATAGATTTCTCAGGCCTACAAATTCAACTTGACTTTTCTCAAATCCTTCTCATTTTTCCCTCGGTCTTATTCTCGTAGTTTTCAATCCTTCTTTTGTGCCTAATCATTTAAAACAGACTCACTGTAGCTTCTATCTGACTCTACCCATCCTCTGTCTGATAGCTCCATTAGTTCTATTTTGGAGGTTCCATTTCTCTACTTGCTGTACCTGTTGTCCCTTACCTATAAAGCACAGGGTTTGGTTCTTTCTCCCCAAATGTGTTGTATTTTGCTGTGAGCTCATCTTCCGCTGAGTTTTGTCTGTGAAGACCGTGAGCGCCTTAGGTCGTGGCTGTGCTCCCCGGTTCTGCGTTTGCTTCTCTCAGGAGCGCCACAGTGATTCAGCCGGAACCAATCTTTCTGTGTTGCTATTTTGGCTCTGTGCTTCTTGAACTATGTTGTTAGTACAAATTCAAACCTCAAGCCTGTTTGAGGGCGAGACTGTGATTGTAAATTACAGGGCAGACTTTTTTGAAGAGGGAGGCAAGCTTCGAGGCCCCTTCCCTGTGCCGGAGGCAGTTTTCAGTTCAACCTCTCTGCGGGTCAGACCCTTGGGGGGCCAGCTCCATGTGGGGTTTCCAGTTCTAACTTCCTGCCTTGAAGGAGGTCAAATCTTTATCTACTGTTTCCACGTAGGAACTAAAACTCCAGACTTCGAGACAGGGACCAGAACACGGCGCTGGGGGAGGGCGGCAGCGGCGGCTTGCGGGCTCTCCACCCCAGTTTTCAGTCTCACCCCCCTTTCCGGTCCCTGGAAACCTCATTTTCTTGCAAGCTCGCCGATGCATTTGGTGGGATATCTGTTATCCTTTTCCGCTTATCTAGTCTCCCACCAGGCAGAAAATGGAAATCTAATGACCTGTGCGTTGTGTGCGTAAAATAAACTGAGGGCAGGCGTTGGGGTGTGGCGCTGCGGGGGACGGGACTGTTACAGGCGCGGTCTCTTGTAGGTCTACGTCCGTTACATATCCATGATTTCGTTTATGCAAGAAAACGAAACAACTGTGACCAAATGTCACCATCCATGGTTACAAGCATTATGTTGTCCTCCGCACTTTTCTCTAGTTTGTTAATTTCTTAACAGCTAAGAACAAGGGAAGAAAAAGGAAAACAGGGATCGGCAGTATTTGAGAACCGCACGGTACTCCCAGCCGCAGAGGAAGACCCCGAGTGACCCGCCCGCCCGCCCGCTGCCCCGGGCACCCCGCAGTGGCCAGACGCCAAGGCGAGCTGAGCCCACGCACCTTCTCCTGGTAGAGTTTGTGAAGCCACTGAGCTGCCTCCTTCTCATCCAGCGGGATCTCCTCCAGAGGAAACCTCCTGTTTTATAGGAAGATTAAAAGCAAAGTGAATCGCCAGATGACAACAAATGAAAAAGGGGGAGGGAAACGTAGCCGTTGTGCACCAGGGTGACCTGTGGGCCCTGCTTTTTCTATTTCAGGCTCAGCCTCAGCTTCTAAAAACAAGCAACCAAAATACCTTCTCCGGCGGCGTTCACCCCGAGTGCACGGAGCCAGCCCGGCAGAGTGGCCGGGAGGCTGTGAGGCCTGCACGTGCAGCGCGTGACAACAGGGTACCCGTGAGCGACTGCACGGAGCAGGCCACGCCTCCGGTCCCACCGTGAAGGGCGATTACTTATGAGCTTCTGAAGTTTTGGTCTTTCTTAATACAATCGCTCTTTGGAAGCTATCCTGACAAGACTGCTTTTCATTAGGCACAGATTACGTATTTCACAAATGAAATCTATTTGCTTCAAATATAAAAAGTATTAAAAATTTAGAAAATGTTTTTTTTTTTTGAGACAAGGTCTTGCTCTGTCACCCAGGCTGGAGTGCAGTGGCGTCATCACAGCTCACAGCAACCTCTAACTCCTGGCTCAAGTGATCCTCCCGCGTCAGCCTCCCGAGCAGCTGGGACTACAGGAGTGCGCCACGGCCCCGGCACAGAAATGCTTTCACAAGTCAGCGAGAACAGCACGCTAGTGTGCTGGGCTCACAGTGGCCATTTTGGAGGCAGAGGCAGGGCGCGTGGGAGCAGAGGCGGGGGCCCCACCTCAGGGCGCCCGTCCCCACAGCCGCAGCAGGACGTCGGGCAGACGTGACCTGTTCCCCGACACCCCGTTCTCCTCTCCTTCTGGGACTAACAGGACACACGTGCCTCCTCCCGAAGTCTCACGCGCAGGCCAGCGAGGGCCACTGCAGGAGGGGCACTCAGCTGCTGGGCCCCGCCTGCCCCGGCTGTTGGAAAACCACGCTGCTGAGGCCACGCCGCACCAGCCGCACAGGGGCTCGGCTCGGCTCCCCGACAGTGGCCAGCCTCATGTGGACGTCTACGAGGGCGGGAAAAGGAAAGGCAGGCAGGAACCCGCTGTCCACGGCAGCTGCAGCACCCACGACGCCAGGGGGCAGACGGTGCACACCAGAGCAGCCCTGACGGGCACAGGGCAGCTGCTTCTGGGGCGAAGAGGAGGGAGGCAAACCGCAGCACTAAGGCAGCGCGTCTCAAACGTGCTGTCCGAAAGCTGAGCGCCGAAGTGTTGGCGCAGGTGGGTCACGCCCACGGTCTTCACCCGGCCAGAATGAAGGCAGAGCCTCCGCCACACGCGCGCGGGGGCAGCACGGCATCCGCCGCCACAGCAGTGGCCTCTGCGGGGCCCCGCCGCGAGCTCCCGACGTCCCAGGAAACAAAAGCCTTTCTCTCCGAGACCCTCAGTGCAGCCGGCGTTTGCAGGATTTGCCAGAGATGCCGTTTCCCTTTCTGTCCACGGCGAGACGACCGAAGGCTCCACTCGCCTGCTGCTCCCCCGACACACGCACGCCACACACACGCCACACACACCCCCCCTACAATTTATACACTCATCATCTCCACACACACCCCACACAATTTATACATACACCACCCCCCCCACACACACCACACCCCCACACCCCACATACACACACACAACACACCATACACACACGCACATAAAATTTCTATACACACCTCACACAAATTTATACAAATACACCACGCCCCCCACATACAGGTTTTATTATAAGTCTGTTATATGCATTATGAAATATATAAAAATAAGAACTATAATAAAAATGACAAGATAAAAAGTGAATGTAAATCCAAGTTCTAGTTTTCACCATACCCCAGTGGGGCGCCCTGAGCATGCAGCTCCTGCAGGTCACCCAAGCCACATGCAGGACACTGGCCGCAAGCACTGGCCTTGAGGTCAGGCGAGCCCAGGCGACCGCACCAAGTGCCAGCCCTGCCTCGTCACAAGCCGCGGGCGTCTCGACTGCTCTGGGAGGGGAAGGAAGGAAGCCTGGTCGGACAGCGCACAGCCTCGGCGCGTGTGATCACAGAGTGCTGGGGACGCACTGGAATGGCGCTTTTACTCAAAATCTCCAAGCGGTCAGTGCCACGAAACAGTGGAAGCTTTCACAAGTTCAAAGAATATACCTTTTGAAATGTGACTGGGCAAAATGCAGCCCCAACGAAGGAGAAATGAACAGATGAAGGAAAGTCTCCTCTCCAGCGGCGGCGGCGTGTCCACGGGCAGGCGGTGGCTCTGGCGCTGCCTGGGCCAGAGGAGCAGGACCGGGCCGCCCGTCCACGGCAGCTGTCCCCTCGAGCCGCTGCTCAGATCGCCTCAGCCTCGGCGCACGGCTTCCCGCCCGAGGACGAGAGCCAGACGTGCCTCCAGGGCCCCTCCGGGAAGAATGGCCGAGACGCAGGGACCACCGGCGGCTGCTGCCGTCCGCTCTCACAGCAGCCCACACCCAGGGCTCGTCAGTTACAAGGGAGAGGACCCCGGGCTCCTGCCCCTGCCACCAGCCAGTCCGTCACAAACTCTGGAAGGGGAAAAGTCACGCAGCTTCCCGCTGATATTCACAAAGGCGGCCCTGGAAACCTCCTACAGTGTGGCCAGAGGAACTGGGGGGTTTATTTTCTTTAAACTTGTAAGGGCTCGAACTCTTCAGGCTACACGCAGAGGAACTGCTGCCGGCTCCGCGGGTTGACCAACAGACGAACACCCAAGTTGCGATGGTTGGACTATGACCCTCCTCGCTGCTCCGTTCCCCTCCCCAGGGACAAGCTGCCTTTCGGTACACGCCTGAGTGAATGAGACTCACAAGCTGTGGGGGGCAATCCCACCCACGCTTCCTCCTGCAGATCAGACGGACCGAAGGCAACCCTGAAAGACACCTGAAGCTGGAGTCACGGTCACGCCCAGACTGAGTTTTATGTTAAAAGATGTTCTGGGTGGCTTTTCTTCTCGTCACGAGCCAGAGAGACTTGCAGAACCAAAGAGCAGCAAAGAAACACGCAGCCACGATTCAGACGGGACTTCTCTAAGCAATGATGGGCCCTGACCTTGCCAAGAGAGACAGGCTGCTCTCCACGCGAGGTTGCCGATGCACTTCAGAGCGAGCCTTGGGGTCCCATTCCCAGTTTACTTCACTGGGACAGGACGGGGGCACACAGCACTGAAGCCCCGATATTCCAGACAGAATCCAAACCGGCTCTTGCTCTCCACCACCAGTTTCCTTTCAGAGGCTGGGGGATCCCACATCCTGGGGCTGAAACAACCAGCGCCAGCAAAAAGCCACTCACATCGAACTGCAGCTACAAGCCAGAGGCTCCGAGGGAGGCCCCATGCTGACTGCCCCCCAGGAACATGGGCTGCCCTGCAGGGGGAGTCAGCACCGTGCGTCCCCCCAGACCTCCTGGACCCGGTGGGATTCGAGACCAGGCTGGGGAGGGAATGGAGTTGTACACAGAGCGAACTGCGTGGGCCTCCCAAGGAAGCAGAAGGAGAGGACGGTGGCTCCAGCACTGGCCCAACAGTTTCCCCAAAGGTACGGAGCATGCAGCAGGGACAAGGAGTCTGTCCCTGTTTCCCGTCTCGGCACCTGCCTGCCCGGACCCCAGGGCAGGACTTCAGACAGGCCTCCTGCGTGCACCACCCAGCTCGAGAGGGCAAGGGGAGGCGGCCGGGGGAGCGCAGCCCAGGGCAGGCGGGTCTCCCTGGCTGTGCCCAGACGGCAGGGGTCCGCGAGAGGGGCAGGGAGGGGCGGAGGGGGGGCAGGGGCCGAGCTCTCGCCTCACCTCACGCACATGTCTGCCTCGTACTTCTTCCCGTAGAGGATGCCCAGCAGAGACGGGTTCTTGTTTCCTCTGAAGTTCAGGGTGACGTCGTAGACAGCTGCGACTGCAGGGAGGAGACAGGAGCGGTGACGGCACCTGGGAGGGCGGGCGCCCCGGCCCGGGCAGGACACGCCAGGGCTT